TAAATCTATGAGTCCGTGTGCGTAATCAAATACACCATTCAAAACGATTTGACCCCCTGAGTCCAAAACTGTAATTAGATCTAAAATCGGTCAAGAAATGACGGAGCTGTGAGCTAAAAGTTTGCACTTGGAAAAAAAACTCAGAGCCGTTCTGTGAGCCACTATGCCGCGGCCAAAAAAAGAAATGTTTAATCTCTAAATCGGTAAAACTGGTTTTAAAAATTATTTATTTAAGAACTATTTCTAAGTTTAATTAAAGTTATAAACATAGGTAGCGCTGCCCAACATTTTAATCTTGTGTTCTGCTTTTGGATACAAAAGAAAGTTGAGTAAGGAAAACCTAATTCGGTTCCAAATAATTTGCCTTTTAGAACAACCTAACGCAATAAAAGGGTAAAAATTTTGAATGTTATTTAGCTTATCTGTTAAGCCTTAATAGCTTCATTTGGTTAACTTAATGTTAAGTGTCCTATGGTCTACGCTTTGTTTTTAATTAGGCTAGAGTTAGTCTAGAGTAAACGTGATATTTTAATACAAAGAAAGTAAATAGCGAAACCACAACTATTTCATTCACGATATTAAAAAGGCTTCTAACGTAGACCAATCACTGTGTAGAATTATGATAAAGAATCACGGCCCGCGTCTTTCGTAAGTTACATCTAACACCTGTTGCATTAGGCACAAACGGTATGTGTATTTTTATTTTAATAACTTTGCTATTAGGTTACTCATATCTATGAATACATCGAGTCTCAATATTTTACATGGTAATAAACTCTTGAGAGGGTAATTGAGGAGGATATATCTTTAAATTTCTGCAGAGGATTATTGGGAATGCCTCAAGACATTTTTTATAAATGTCAGATTAAACATGGCTTTCCTACATTTTGACACACGTTTCTTTATTAGTTATATCCTAAAAACACACACATGAAAATATTTTTCACGAATATAACCCCAATTGTGTTAATGACATTTAAAATAATGCGTTACTAATGTCTTTGAAAATCACTCGCGTGCATCTAGTAGAATTTTATGGTTTTTAGCGAGTGAGGGAAGCCTAGTATGTGTGGTATTTATAGCAAGTGAGGGAAGCCTAGTATGTGTGGTATTTATAGCAAGTGAGAGAAGTCTAATATGTGTGGTATTTATATCAAGTGAGGGAAGTCTAGTATGTGTGGT